TTGTGATCCTCAATATGATAGAGAGGGATGGTCTGGAAGCGGCGCCAACCCAAGGACAGGATCAGGGGGTCCCGTGTCTTCAGGATCCGCTCATACCAGCGGTGCTTTTTCAGTCGCATCTGACACACACGGAGTACAACATCTTATTTAACCATTAGATCTTAATATGGGTATTTACAGATGTGTACAAATACTTCATTAGTGCACTTAAGCAGAACTTTCAGGTATCTGTACTTCAGTATTTTTTTACTCCCTACATTTTTGTTTTACAGCAGAACTTTTGTTCTCTTTATGTTTGTTTTTCCTCTTATTTGATCAGAGGTCTGATAACAGAGTTCTTCCCTTTGCACAGATTTCTGGGTGGAAAGGACGGGAACATTTCTGCTTTGTTTACATGTTTTCAGGTGTTTTGTGCTCCAATAAAAAGCAAAAGAAAACATCTTAAGATGTAAACAATTTATGGATTCATATACAGATATTTTAAGAATAATCATTCTATTCTTATTTTATTAAGAACCTTGTGTAAATGTAGCACATACCTGCAGGTATCCCACATTGCCTTCACTGGTTCCCAGGCCTCCGATGATGACGGGGTAATGTGGGTCAAAGTTCGTTACAAACTCACATGGTAAGGAGGAAATCTCTAATCGGACGTACATTCCTGGCCGGAAGCCTTCGTACTGCACTCTCGACTCATCGTCCATGTCTTCAAACTCGGCTCTGTTCAGCTGAACAAACAGTGGAAGAATATGAGACATGAATAGATTCTTACATGTGAACGTCAGACTGATGGACAGTCTACCTCCGCCTGCTTCTGCATCTCCTCCTTCAGGTCGTCGAAGTACGTGGCGTCGCCATCGTCGTACTCTGTGTTGAAGCGCTCCTTCAGTCTGCGTTTCTTTTCAAGGCGCTTGTTCTTCATCACCTCATCATCATCCATCTTCACCTGCTGGTCTTCATCGTCAGTTTCATCTTCATCACTTTCACTTTTCTAATGGTAAAAAAAAAAGTGTGCGTGACAAATAACCTTTGTTACATTTTTGGG